GGCTGGGGCGGGGCCTCCCGGGGACTCCGTGACGCCAAGGGGAGGGCCGCGGCGGGGAATCCCCGGGTTGTACCAAGAGCGTATTTGCGGGAGAGACGCAATCGTGGGGGGAAGCCGCCCCCGTGTCTACACCAAGGAGACCCCTAAAACTCTCTCACCCAAGTTGGAGCTCCTATGGAGGTACACTGTGTAAGGCCCCTGCAGGCCCTGCTCTCTCTCCGTGAGTGAATGCAGACCTGCCCATCCCCAGGAAATTAGAGAAACTGAGCAACGTTGAGGATGCAGACAGGCCTTGGAGGTGACAGGTTTGTTGAGATGCAGATCATGGGTCACAGGACTTGGAAAGCAGTAAATGCCAGTGACACCCCCCAAAGAGTATAACACCTCCTGTCCAGCCGGCGTGGTTCAGTGGCTGAGCCTTGACCTAAGAACCAGGAGGTCACGGTTTGATTCCTGGTCAGGGCACATGCCTGAATTGCCGGCTCGATCCCCAGGGTGGGGCGTGCAGGAGGTAGTTGATGAATTATTCTCTCTCATCATTGGTGTTTCTATCTCTCTCTCACTCTCCCTTCCTCTCTGAAATCAATAAGAATATGTTAAAATAAATAAAATAAAGTGAAATAAAATAAAATAAAAAAACACCTTCTCCTTAGTCAGCCTGGCTCCTGCTCATGGCTCACCTCCTCCAGTAAAACTTCCCTGCCCCTGCCAGGAGTTAAGGCTTCGCTGTCCTCAGCCTCAGCCCAAGCCTAACTTCTCTGTTGAAGGAGTGGTGGTTGGTGGTAACATTCACTAGAAGGCATGCCCAGGAGAAGGGCACGGTACCCATGGAGGCCAAAGCCAGTTGGCAACAGTGATGAATTCCATTTAGGACTGACTGACTCGAGGTGCCTATCGACACCATCAAAGGAGCTGGGGCTGTGGGCTTGGAAGGGAATGTTAACAGGGCTCTGCCTAGTTGTGAGGTGCAAAGGTGCTATTCTCAGGTGAGGGGGCACATTGGGATCAGGGGTTCCTAACCCTTTTTTTTTGACTCGCAAAACATTCCTGGGAAATTTTAAATGATTTTGTCATTTTTTGATAGTATGCAATAAAGATTTTGATTTAAAATATCTTCTATCTTTGGACTATGAAAGATTGTATTATAAAGTTCACTTAAAATAGAATTTTAAATAACATTCATGATACGTGAAGACAAATTTCTATTTTTCACATTTAGCATGACGTTTATATTTAATTATGTTTGAAAAACATGATTCTATGACCAATAAATATAAAAAAAGTGATCATATTGTGATTTAGAGACCTAATGTACTTAGGAACATAGTTTGAAACTTGCACTTGGGTTAGACATCGTCAGCAGCCGGAGGGATTGTTTAAAATCCTGAATCACAATGCTAAAATCGCTGCCAAACTCATGGCAGCACCCCCCTGGTTGGCCCCTATTCCTGGCGATTTTCCTCCAGAACTTTTAGGGCCTGGCATTACCCCTTCTTTCAGAAGACCTTCCCTGTTCACCCAATCTGAAACAGCCCCATCCCAGTCAATGTCTACAACATCATCTAGTTGCTCTTCCTTTCAAAGCACTTCACACTCCCCAAAAGGATCTTGTTTCTGTGTTTGTTTAGTTGTTTATGATTTGTATCTCCTACCAGACTGGAAGTTTCAGGAGAGCTGGCATCAAGCCAGCCTTGATCACAGCTCTTTCTTCAGCATCTATCATGGGCCCTGGCACCAGCCGAGTAGGTGATCACTAAATATGGCTGTTGCTGTGACTTCAAAAATATACCAAACCAGTTTTCATGGCCCAGTGCTTAGAAGTTTTAAGTTCAAAATTGTAGCTGTTTTTGACTGAAAAATAAATCACATGCACATAGCCGAAAATTCAAATAGCGTAAGAGGCGCTTTGCCACACTTTCATGCTTGTCGGGGTAGGACAGGCTGTTCCGTGGTCTTTTGGTTATCTATTATGAGGCGCTTTGCCACACTTTCATGCTTGTTGGGATAGGACAGGCTGTTCCGTGGTCTTTTGGTTATCTATTACTTGATGCGACCATTTTTTTTACTATCTCTCATGATTCAGAGTGTTGGCAGAGTTCAGCTGGGCGTCTCTTATGTGGTTCCAGTCACAACCAGCAGTGGAGTCATCAGAAGACTCAGCTGATTTGGTTGCTAATGACAGCTCTCTCATTTGTCTGGCGAGAGAGGTTGGCAGTTAGCTAGAAGGACAATTAGAGCTGTGCCTCCAGGTGGCTCAGGTTTCTCAGGGCATGGTGGCTACATTCTGAGAGGGAGCATTCAAAGCAAACATTCCATTGATCAAAATGGTCACAGTCCAGCCCAGATTCAAGGACAGGAGACAGAGACCCAGCTTTCAATGAAAGGAGTGTCAAAAAATGTGTGGCCATCTTTAATCCACAACCTATGGTACCAAATAAACCTTCATACTTCAGTGGCTTAACGTAACAAAGGTTGGTTTCTCAATACATCACAATGTGAGGTAGACAATGTTGGTGTGCTCTCCTCCTCCAGCAGTACTCAAATCCCAGGGGCTTCCACCCAGTATCTCCACCAAAGTTCTTTGATCCCAACTGCTCAGATGGGAGAGAGGTTGGGAGTTAGGGGAGTGGGGAAAAGATTCACAATGACACTTATTGCCTTGGAGCTGAAGTGACACATTCCTCTGTCCACATTCCCATTGGTGAGATCATATCACCCAGGAAGGTTGGGAAATGTAATCTTCCCATGTTCCCTGGAAAAGAAAAATGGGTGTGAACACATCATTGTTGCTGACACACACTAATTTCCCAGTCTCCTTCTCTTGAATAATCACCATTAATAATTTAGTGTGTATCCTTCCAGAAATATGTATGCATGTACAAACATTTAAAAACATAAATGTAGCCCTAGCCGGTTTGGCTCAGTGGTCCCGGGTACGATTCCAGTCAAGGGCATGTACCTCGGTTGCAGGCTCCTCCCTGCCTGGGCCTTGGTTAGAACACATGGAGGAGGCAACCAATCAATGTGTTTCTCTCACATTGATGTTTCTCTCTATCTCTCTCTCTTCCACTCTCCCTAAAAAAATCAATGGAAAAATATCTTCAGGTGAGGATTAACAACAACAAAAAACATAAATGTAGCATTTACACACTGTTGCTTCTTTACATAACAATATATTTTCAATATATCTTAGAGAACATTGCATATCAGAATAAATAGATCTACTTTATTCCTTTTATGCCTATAAAACATGTCATTGTGTGGATGGACTATAGTTTACCTAATCAGTCCTCTATTGATAAATATTTAGACTATTTCTAATTATTTGCTCTTACTATGTGATATCATACAGTCTTATTTATACTTAGATCTCTGCTTACCCATGTTAGTGAACATGTAGGAAAGTTTCAATAAATAATATTTAGAATAATATATATATTCAGTGTTAACATATAACTCAGGGATATCCAATTAGAAAAGGTAGTAAAAATGAAGTCATTCACAACAGCAACTAAAACTAATCTATAACAATAAAAACGTAATATGCTAATTAGACCAGAGAGCCGAATGACCTTCCGGATGAAGCAGTGGCAGCAGGGGCTGAGGCAGAGGCAGTTAGGAGTGATCAGGCAGGCAGGCAGAGTGGTTAGGGGCGATCAGGCAGGCAAGCGAGTGGTTAGGAGCCAGCGCTGTCGGGATCGGGCCTACACTGGCAGTCAGACATCCCCCGAGGGGTCCCAGATTGCTAGAGGGTGCAGGACGGGCTGAGGGTGCCCCCCTCATGCACGAATTTCATGCACTGGGCCTCTAGTATGCTTAGGAATATACCCAAGGTGGGGGGGGAGGGGGGGAGTGGAGTACAAATGAACAACATAAATTAACTTGAATGTTTGTATCATAATGTGATCAATTAAAATAACTGAAGGACATAAAAGAATACCTAATGAAAGAAAATATATAACATGTTTGGTGTTGGGAAGACTAAAAATAAAGTTGTAATTTACACAAATCATGAATTCAATATATCCCAATTGATGAGATATCCTTTTTTGTGGATCTTGACAAGTTGTTTCTAAAATTCATTTCAAAAGAATACTCAAGAAAAATGTTTTTAAGAATGAGGAAAAAACTTATAATGAAAATGGTGTGCTGTTGGGTCAGAAATAAGCAAGACTCATAACAGAATAGAGACCAGAAATATCCTCCTGTGTAGGAATTTAATTTTTGATGAAGGTGGCATCTCAAAAGGCTGAATATAGGACTACCATATGCCCCAGCATTTCCACTCCTAGGTATATATCCATAGAATTGAAAACAGGGCCTGGCCTGAGTGGCTCAGTTGGTTGAGCATTGTCCTGTGTACCAAGAGGTTGCTGGTTTGATTCCTGGTCAGGTCACATACCTGGGCATGTATGGAAAGCAACAGATCATTTCTCTCACATCAGTGTTTCTCTCTCCCTCCCTTCCTCTCTCTAAGCATGTCCTTGGGTCAGGATTGAAAAAAAAAGAAAGAATTGAAAGCAAGGACTCAGAAAGATACTTGCATACCCATGTTCATCATAACATTATTCACAATAGTCAAAAGACAGAAACAACTCAAATGTCCATCAACAGATGAACAGATAAACAAGATGTGGCATATACATATAATGGAATATTATTCAGCCACAAAAAGGAATGAAATTTAGATACATGCTACAATATATATGAAACTTAAAAACAAATGCTATGTGAAATAGGCCAGACAATAAGACAGATATTATATGGTTTCACCTGATCAAATATATACAATAGGCATATTAATGGAAACAGAAAGTAGATTGAGGTTGTCAGGCGCTGGGAGGAAAGAGAAATGAGAAGTTATTGCTTAATTTTTACATAATTTCTGTTTGGGCTGATGAAAGAGTTTTGGAAATAGTAGTGATGGTTACATAACATTGTGAATGCAATTAACACCACTGAATTGTACACTTAAAACTGGTTAACATGGCCATTTCTATGCTACATATATTTTACCACCACATAACAAAGACTCATTCAAAAAAAGAGAAAGACACTATATAAAAAGTAAAAAGAGAAGCAGTAAATGAGGAGAAAATGCTTGTAACATATACAGTAGTCCCCCATCCACCGTTTTGCTTTTCATGGCTTCAGTTACCCCAAAATATTAAATGAAAAGTTCCAGAAATAAACAACAATTCGTAAGTTTTAAATTACACACCCTCTGAGTAGTATGATAAATCTTGCACCTTCCTGCTCTTTCCCACCAGGATGTGACTCATTCTTTGTCCAGGGTATCCATGCCGTATATGCTCCCTGCCCATTAATTATTTAGTAGCTGTCTTGGTTATCAGACCAACTGTCAAGGTGTCACAGTGCTTGTGTTCAAATAACCTTTATTTTCCTTAATAGTTTCCCCAAAGTACAAGAGTAATGATGGCAGCAGTTTGGTTATGCCAAAGAGAAGCCATAAACTTCATCATGGTTGTGTATGTATAGGGGGAAAAAACATAGTATATTGTGAATTCAGTACTATCCATAGTTTCAGGCATTCACTGGGGGGTCTTGGATTGTATCCCCTCAGATAAGGGAAGACTACTGTATAGCCAATTAGTAAAATCCAGAAGATATAAAGAACTTCCACAAGTCAACTAAAGAACAGAAAACCCCTGTAAAAATGGACAATGACTTTTATCAAAAGAAAGAAAACAATGCCCACAAAAAATAAAACTATGCATTATTAGTGAAGTGCAAGTTAAAGTATGAATAAGAGGCCATTTTTTCACTCATCAGATTGCCAAAAATTAAGAAATGGAAGGCGAGCTGTCCCTCTCAGGAGCACACCCATGCCCTTCTTCCCTTTCAAGCATGCATCTCCTAAACTCTAAGGTTCCCCACAAGACTTGCAACTAGGGGAGCAATGGGCAGCAGCAGCTCATCCCAGGCTAACCCCCACTACCCATCTCCAAGGCCCTCTTTTCTGTGACTTTCCAGTGAGCCAACGCAGCCTACCTCAGCTCTCCTGTTGCCTCTTCTATCGCAAGCCTTTCCATTTCATTGTTCCCAGCTTTAATACACATACTCTCATAATAAAAAAATCTTAAAAAGAAATTGATGCCCTGACCGGTTTGGCTCAGTGGATAGAGCGTCACCCTGCGGGCTGAATGGGCCCGGGTTTGATTCCGGCCAAGGGCATGTACCTTGGTTGCTGGCCCGTCCCCAGTCGGGGGGTATGCAGGAGGCAGCTGATAGATGTTTCTCTCTCATCGATGTTTCTAACTCTCTATCCCCTTCCCTTCCTCTCTGTGAAAAATCAATAAAACATATTTAAAAAAAAAAGAAATTGAATAATATTCAGAGTTGGTTAGGATGTGAGGAAGGGAAATCCATCATTCCTGCTGGTGGGAGTATAAATAGGTCTAACTTTTTGGGAGAGCACTTTGACTTTCTCTCTCTCTCTCTCTCTCTCTCTCTCTCACACACACACACACACACACACACCCTTGGACCCAGCAGTTGCTCTGGAGTGTGTAACAGGACAAATAGTTACATACGTCATGGTACATCCACAAGATGGAATTCAATGAAATACCAAGGAGCTAGATCTGTGTGTCCTAACATTGGAAATACATGTCTGAAATACTTTCTAATATTTCTTGAAATCCAACATGTGTTTTTGTTTTGTTTCTTTTTAACACGTTTATTTTTTGTTTCTAATTTGTTATCTAAAAGGTTCAGACTGCTGTTTACAAACAGTTTTCACAAATGACACTTGTGGGAATGGGTTACCTTTTATTCCTGGTACATAAAAAGCCAAATAGGATGTGATTATTGCTCTTCCTTTTTTCTTTTTCTTAGCCATGGTTTGCAGTCTTAGTGACATCTGGATATGCTTTGTATCCGTTTTCTTTAAAAAAAAATTTTTTTTTCATTTTCATTTTATTAAGGCCTTACAGATGCTCACTAGATACCTTAACAACAGTTTTTAATTGTGCAGAGAAATTACAGCTGCTTAAATAAAGCCTAAAGTATTTGGCTTCCTTGGGTATTTCTGCCATATTGTTCCCACAGAGCTGCTGTTAGTTTAATAATAGAGTAGCTGTTAAAATAATATTTTTTTTCTTTTTTAAAAGATAATTCTTTATTGTTTAAACTGCAGTGGTTCTCAACCTTCTGGCCCTTTAAATACAGTTCCTCATGTTGTGACCCCAACCATAAAATTATTTTCGTTGCTACTTCGTAACTGTAATGTTGCTACGGTTATGAATCGTAATGTAAATATCTGATATGCAGGATGGTCTTAGGCGACCCCTGTGAAAGGGTCGTTCGACCGCCAAAAGGGTCGCGACCCACAGGTTGAGAACCACTGGTTTAAAGTATTATGTATGTACCTTTAACCCCCCTCCATGGGCCATGTATATATGCATACAAGGTCTTTTTAAGATTACCTCCCACCCATCCACCCTCCCCCGCCTTTGTTTGGATAAATGCAAGGATCTGAGGTCACAATCACAGTGAGGCAAATTTACAGGCTTATTTTTTTATGCTTTCTTTAATTAGCTGTTTGTGTCTATAACCAGTGGTCCACCAAAGATTATAAATTAAATTATATAGAACTAAAAATTAGACAGTTTAAAAGTGTGAAATGGTCAAAACACTTAGGGTTTGAAGGAAATGCGTTCATCTGTCATTAATGGGGTCTTGGGACCCCTGATCTTCCCTACATGCCACATGCACGTACTACTGACTATTTCTTTGAAGGAAAAACAACTTTGGGATGAGGTGAACTGAAACTGCATCCACCACGGGGAGAAACCTGTGATTTGGGCGTCATTCCATATGGGCCAATGTGAAAAATGCTTTGATATGAGCAGGAAAGGCGAAGATGAACCCTTTTATTTCCTAAGCAGTTAGGTCAAAGTTATAAGTGAATAAGAGAAATGCAGTTTCCTCTGGTAGATGAGATGGAGCAGAGTGGAGTGGAATGAAGTAGCAAGAGGGTTCTTCACAAAGAAGTTAAATCCTCAAGATGCAGAAGTGTGCTTGGTTTCAGCCAGGAGAAAACCGGGCACAGCCCAAAGGAAGCTTCCTCCCACAGCACTCACCCTCCCTCCCAGCAGCACAGACCACACATCCCCAAACACCCCCTCCCCACAGAGCGCTTCTGAGCTGGCCCCAGGGGAAAGCCACTGGGCTCTGTGAAGGCAGGTGAAATTCTTAAGGCACTAGAAGGGACTGGGGACTGGATGGGGACAGATACGGACTGGACTGGAAGGGTTTCAAGGGAGGAGGACCATGAGAGATACAGAGAAAGAAAGAGGAGACGGGTGGAATCTCCTCTGCAGCCTCCTCCTTGAGGCTCTGCCCTTTGGTTGAAGGGCCAAGGAAGGGGCAGAAAAATTCAGGTCCAGTTTCTACCTTTCCTTGCCCAGTCCCCCTGCCCCCACCCCAGACTCCTCCCAACTTTCTAAGGTGTTAGGACACTGACCTATGTAAAAAATTTGATTCAGTATGATGCAGTTTGAGGACAGTGGGTGAAGTGGTACCTGGCCCAGGTGAGGAGTGTCCCCACTCATCTCAAGGTCAGAGGTGGTCAGTGCCTAGTTGTTACTTGGAACACAGTAGTGAAGAGTGGTTGCTCTAC